TCTGCGTATCCCATGAAACGAACACTTGAAATGCTTTACGTCAAGCTTGCGACGTTTCTCATCTGGAGGATGGGCGTAGCCGATAGGCCCAAACAGTTTCATGTTCTTGAGCTGCAGTTAATTCGGTATACGATCTCGTACGGAGTCGTGACGGTGGCCAAATAGGGGGATCCGATTGATGATTCACCCGCCGTGTTCACCGCTTCAGGCCACCACTTCTTCTTAATACCCTCGTGGTTGAGCATGCAGCTAGCCACCCCCACCAGGGTTCCGTGCTTTTAGTCAGCCAGACCGTTCTGCTGAGGCACATACGCCACCGCCTTCTAGTGTCTGATACCGCAGCGGTTGAGGTAGTGGGCGCCTGACAAAACCTGTTCTAAGTGCTGAAATAAGACCTCACATAACTCAGTTTTAGGTCACGATTTATGAGTTATCTTATGTTACGTTATACCGCGAAACAGCTTTGGGGGTCGCCGATTCTACCATTCGAGATATTTACTATGTCCTATTGGAATTGTCTCATTCATTAGCAAGGTACTAACTAAAGGGGGCAAAAAAGCTGAACAGCGGAAAATCATTGACAATATCGATCCGTGTCCTCCTCAACAGGAATACAGTCACGATAATCGGACCACAAAGTCGTAATCGCAATGAACGGGTTCATCCTGTACAAGGATAGCACAACCTCACCGATTTCTTTACGGGGCAGAAAATGATATAATTCTTCTTTGCACGAAGGTAAGGTGGGTGATGTGCTTAATCTTGGGAATAGCGGAGCGTGGCTGGTTGTGATGGATTAAGCATTGAATATGAGGGACGCTCTAAAAGAGGATCTATCTGAAAGCGATGTGAGTTAGCGAGTTCTTCAGTATTTCAAGCTCTGCCATGACATCATCGATGACCATGGCTGGCAGCAATTCTTTAGTGGGGACGATGGTAAACAGCAGCTGTTCCGTGTCCCCATTGCCTCGTTAGAGCCTCGGGCTCTGCGAGAAGAAGTGGAACGTACAGTACGTTTCCAGGCTCGAGCTGCAAAGTCCGACGAGGTTATCCTCCATGACCTAGTGTTGGAAAAGGCGCTCGACCGAGAAAAAAACTACCAGAACCAACGACGCGCCAAGCGCGATCGGAGTGATGGTAATTCGGGACGTGCACCAAAGCGCGGACCGAGTAAATCTTCTACCAAGAAACCCCGCCTAACCACTGAGCGGAGCACCTCGAGCTCCAAACCACCTACGAAGAAGACATCTTCGGAACGAGCTAAAGTGCCACCCACTCCTTGTCCACATTGTGATGAGATGCACTGGTTGTCAGAGTGCTCAACAGCCTCTGATGATCAGAAAGCCGAAATCCGTCGTAAGCTCCGTGAACAAAGAGCTAACGACGGAAATAAAGGTGTGGTGGCAAGAATGAAGCGACTTCGTGAGTGTATCCCATCTCAAGAGAAGACTGTTCTTTTGAACGAAGAGCTTGCTGTTCCGTACTGTGCGGACACTGGTGCGGACAGGACCGCCATAAGCAAGCAACACGTGACCCAACTACTTCGTAGCGACACATCTATTAAGGTGACTCCACTCGATACTCCAACAGTGCATGTGGCTGTAGGCGACCATGAGGTCATTTCCACGCACTTCGTGCGACTTCGGCTGCGACTCAACACTGCTGCCGGACCAGTCGGCTTGCAGAAACCTGTTTTTTTTATTGTCTGATAATCGAATGTGACGAACCCGAGTTCATCCTCGGTC